TATGTTGCGTTACGTTTGCGTTATTATTTACTTAGCATAAAAGCTATATTTTAACCATTGATTTTGGTTGGTCGGCGGCGGTATACTTTATTCTTGTATTATGAAATCCGTATAAAAGAAAATAATCTATAATATACGAAAGGAAACATTAGGAACATAATAACCGTAGACTAAAATTTTTTTATTTGTTTTTGCTTTCTTCTTTTAAAAAATATTGAATTTCTTTTATTCAATATAAAATGTGATATACATACACATGAACTGTGTATGTTAATGATTAAATAGAAAATATAATATAGACATACATGTGTGTACATTACATAATTTTCTATTTGGAATGGAAATAACACATATATACATAGAAACATATATACGATATTCAGGATACATGGAAATGAAATTGCATTTTTATTTCATATCAAGTTAACAGGTAAATTGAATTTTTATGGTAATAGAATTATTTATGGAAATTATTTTTTTATGCTAAAAAAGCACAAAAAAACTGAAAAAAACAAAAACAAATTGAAAAAGTAAAAAACTTCCTTTTTATTTTTTACAATATTCATTCTTTTATAATATCCGGATTTCGATTCTCTTTGTATATGTATGAAGAACATGTGAAATAACGCATTCTCAAAATGTAAATGAAAATCGAAAAAAATTCCCTAAGAAAAAGGTAGGCAAACATACACATACGCACACTTTAAACAAATATATAAGGGCCCCCTGCCCCTCCGTCCAATTTATTTGTGTATTTGCACAAGAAACAAAAATGGATTTAAACAAATCAGGGTGAATTTGTTTTTTCCAATATTTTGTACAACATTATGTAGAAAAAACATAGAAAATTTTTAAATTTCGAAATGTTATTTTTTGTAAATTATATAAGAGGACCCCAATTTAGAAATTTTGAAGTAGGGATCAACGAAATGTGCAATAAGTCAATAAGTTTTTTTTTTTTTTTGGAATATTAATGAAATTTAAGACTTAGGAGTTTTAGGAATTTATAAGTTTTAAAAGTGAGAAACAATTATTTTATTTAATTGAATTTCGATTAGAATTATTGTCACTTTTTCTGAGTGTATAAAATTTTAAAATTCTATTTAAAAAATAAATTTTAATAATTTTAAGTTTTTAACTTAGATATTTTAAGATTTAGAATTTAAAATTAAAATAATTAAATATCAAGTTGTAGTTTACGAATATTTTAATTGGAAACAGCTGTATAGGGTTAAATATGTCAAATAAGAAATTTAATAAATTAATGTTACTCACTATTATGAATATACCACATATTATGAATATACCACATTAGTATGTAAAACCATTGGGATAATAAGAGCAAAGAATGGATTATAGAATGGGACTTTTTTTAGAATAAATCTTATTTGATGTTTTGGAGGGTTAATTGAAATTATTAGAATTATACGCAAAGTGACTTAACAAACGTTTTAGTTGAATATAATATTTTACATCAACGTCATTTACAACTGCTTATTAAATATGTTTATGTATATTTTGTCAGCATTTGATCAATTTTAAAGGGTTCGTTAGCCTAACGTAACGAGTATAATATTTCTAGTTTTCACTATAGCGTCGCTCATAGCTTTTGTATAATTTTAATAAAATGTCAAGGGTTAATGTTAATAAATAACTTCTTATTTATGATTATTCATTTAAAACGCATTTTATGTTAATGAAGTTCTATGAATAAGGACCATTTAATATTATTAGAAAATCAAAATTCATGGCAAAAATTTACAAAGTTCTACTGGAGCATACATAATAATTCTCTCACACTAATGTTAACCCCTCTATGCGTATAGTCGGCTATATTTTTTATATTATCATTTTAAAGTCCTTTACTATTTTCTAATGTATACACTCGAAGTATATAGATAATCGAATATGAGCTTATGAGATCCATACATAAAAAATATTGTTTACTCAATTGAATGATCCTTATAAACTTAATGTATAAGTTTGTATACATTTTGATTGTTTTCATCAAGTGCATCATTTAATAATACTTCATTTCGTAATGAGTTTTAATGGATGCCATTTTTATATTATCCAATGAAATCTTTGTTTTTTTTTTTATGCTATTCTTCTTTTAGCTATAAGATATGATTTAATAAAAATTTATGAAGTTTATAGTAAATTTCATTTTATTTTATGGTTGTTTGAAATTTTTTGAAAGCAAAACGAAATGTGCTTATTATTTATTATTTTCTTGTCCATTTTGTTGATATTTCATGGAGCTTTGTTATTGGTGTTGTTAGAAATTGACGAGAACATTGAGTATATTATTATATTACTAATTTTGTTGTAATTGCAAAAGTTTTAATAATGTTTCAAACTTATTCATACAAAATGTATAGGATAATACAATCAAACATGTTGAATTCATTTTATTTGTTTAAAAACATGTTGGTTTAATTTCATAATTTCTGAAATTTGAATTTATTTGATTGTTTTATTAAAGCCGAAATGAGATTTAAAGTATGACCAGATTTTTCTCAAACCATAAGATCTCGAAATAAAGGTTGTAATACAGTTTAATTGTAGAAGACTTTTTGACTAACAGTTTTGAAAATGTGCTGTTCATATTACAAAAAATTACTCTTAATTATTTTTTCTCTTCTCTTTTTTTCTTTTTAATAAAAAATTTATTTATAATAAAAGTATAAGTAGTTTCTTCCTTTATCTCTCTTGAGACTATTTATATACCACTTTATTGGATTATTAGATTTTATTTAAAACTATAAATATATACACATACAAACAAAATAGCTTAATATAGACAAGTATAATATTTAAGTTTATTGCAGTATGAACTTTTATACTTTATTAATTCCATAATATCGCAGCGAATCAAAACTATTATACATATATATAAAAAAAAATTGAAATATAGAAAATTTAACCGGAAAATTTTATATTGAAAATTTCAAAGAGGAAATGCATTTTCTTGTTGATGTCATTAAAAAATTATTAACTAAATACCAAAGTAATTGTATATGAAATTTTATTGAAATTTGCAAAAATATTTGAGAAAAAAAATAAAAAGATTAATGATGTAGAAATGAAGGGATTTGAACTTTTTCTTAAAAGTTGAACATAAATTATGATGGTGAAGGGTTAATTTTTATTTGCACTTAGTAATTTGTATAACAGTTTGTTAATAAATTGCAAAATTTTAGTTATTATCAATAAATCTTGAACATAGAATAGGGAAGAGGAAGCCCGGAAAAAATATATGGATAAAATATTTGTCTGTCTTAATAACTTAAGAATAACTTTAAGTTAAGGTCTTAAGGAGTAAAATTGCTCTAAAAATCACTTCAATATAACGGCTTATTGTAAAGGTCAATTCGATATTCTGAACATAAAAAAATTAAGTAAATGTATGGCGCTTACACAAATTTTCGCTACGCGGCATAACTAACAAACTACATAAGAATTGCGGAAGGGAAAGTGAAGGTATAAGTAAGAATTTCTATGCTTCCTTTGCAATTGAACAGTTTCAAAGAATATTTTATTCAGAATTTCGAACGATTTTATTGTTTGAACAAAATCTATAGATTTTGTAAATTTTTTTATATGCATATTCCGGACCATAAGCTATTAAAATGCAAAATAACTTTAATTATTCATAAAATTTTTTAAATACGAGTCACAACTTTTAGTTTTTCTTTCAAGCATCCCACATTCATGAAGTAATTAATTCTAGTATAGTTAAGAGTATTGAATAAAATTAAGTAAAATGAAAAAAAGTTTTTACTTCATTTACACCTTAGGTTCTCAATGAATTGTTACAAAAATTTTTCAATAATAAAAATTCAATTGTGAATTTAAAAATAACAAAAGTATGCAAATTAAATGTGAAATCATGGCAAATAAAGTTGTGTTAAACCGATGGTGTCTAGTATAGCAATTTTCTCTTCAACAATTCAAATAAAATACTGCTGTTAAAAACACCTGTGTATACCTACTACATTATAAAAATTACTTTATTCAGATAGGGAAATATTTTAAAAATTGCATAAATTTAGGATGAGGCAAAAAAAAAAATTGAAAAAAGCGTTAACATGAGAAAAGTAATTATATTTTTTCATGACATGTCATTTACTATTAGCTTTCTGCAATTATAAAAATTCGGAAAAGCTTGCAATTTCGGAAATATAAGATACCAAAAAGTCTCATTTTACAGATTTTTACAGGCGATAACTTGATTTAGAGTAGAGGTGAAAAATATTTTCTTCTAACGAAATGAACTATTTCTTAGTGTCCAAAAGCTGCTAAAATCTTATACTCCTACAACCTGCCGTCTAGAAGAAAAACGATATAAAAAATTTGAAAAGACAAATTTTGGATAACGGTAAATTTTAATGACATTCTTTTTTTTTTCAAATACAATATGCCGCCATAGAAGAAGCCAGTCACTACATTTCTGTGTTTGCCAAATTTAAAATGCTGTAGTTTGGCAACAATAAATAGTTAAAAAGTGTCATTTTTAGGGTTTTTAGGAGCTATAATTTTTAGAGGGTTGTGATAAGTTTTGTAAGCATGTTCACAGATGAACGACGAACTGACAATTTCAGACTAGCAATCACTTTTCTAGCAAATTTATTTTTTTTTTGAAAAGTACTAAAAAGTACAATTTTCAAAATCAATTCAATTATATTTATCTAATGAAAATGCTGCTATTTCCAAGGTAGCAGGAAATGATACATTATTAAAATTTGTAAGGATATTTTGTATTATATTATAGTAAGGATACTATATGTTACATTTGCTAATAGGTCATCTTTATTAACAATTCTAACAGAATTTCCAATAACATTACCAATTCAATTAGCCAACCAATTCACTTATAAGTTAGAAAAACAAAAAAAAAAAAATATTCTTGAAGTTAATATTGTATTCATATATGGAATATTTTCATTTGAATTTCCGAATGTCTCATTAAATAGGATTATTAAGTAAACACTCTATTGTTAATCATTTCTTACAAACACCTGTCCTTCCAATCTTCTTTGTTCTGATTCTGTATTAACTCCTGTAGTTCAAAATAGGAAATTTCATAAAAAATCAATTTAATTATTCTTGATATTTAATATTATTTGCAATTCTAAATACACTAGAAGAAATAATAATAAGAACAATTGAAAATCAAGTGTATCTTTCGAAATTTAATACACAAATATTGTTTAAATATCTACGAGTATTTACATATAAAACGTGAATGAATTTAAATTTAAATGAAGTATAAAATGCATGTAGATTTGTTTGTATAACAAATTACATTTATAGAGAGTCAAGTATAAACATTAATATTATTGTATAAGTGTTATAAAATGAGAATGAGCTTGTGTGACATTAATTGTTATTTAGCAAACAAAAAAATTTTTAAAATCAATTCCAATTATTTTATTTTAGTACTTATGAAAAATGCCTCACAGTTTGTTAATTTATTTTTTTATTCATTCTTCATTATTTTTCAAATTTAATTTCGTTGAATACGTAGATGGAAATTAGTTTCATCATTGTTCGTTTTCCTGCCTTATCGTAAAGTTTTATCGTAAATTTTTTTTCTTCACTGCTCATTTCCGGTGGGAGTATAGGATTTTTCAGGATCACTTCTCTGTTCAGTCACTTTCCATTTGATTCAATCTTCTTAAGTATTGTTCGTCGGTACGTGTTGCGGGATCTGACTATTGTATTTTTCAACCTCATGGTAACGTGTTTCTCAGCCATCTCTACTTCCTACTCACATCCATTTTCTCCCTGTTGTTTTCAATTAAATACCTGCCTGACTATTATATTAATCGTCCTCCGTAGGGTATATGCTAGTCATATCCACTTCCTTTCCTTTATAGCCACGTTTATTGACTTCTGGTCCGTAATCGCCCATTATTTGTTATTATTCTGGGCCATTGTTTACAGTCGTACAGAAGTACCAATTGAACTCGAATTGAATATTCTGATTTTGCCATGTGAAACGCTCTTCATACAAGCTATAACCGACCAAAAGCCATTTTCATCTTTGATAATCTTTGGTCTTGTTCCGTTCTTAGTTCAATTGGTGTACGTCCTCAATTTGACTAACTAGATGTTGAAAGGGTGCATTATTCATTGTATTCAATTTAAGGCATTTAGTTTTTTTTTGTCTATCGACTTCTGCAGCATCCTTTTATACCATGTTCATTTTAGTCTGCATAATTGCATTTGTCTGAGTTAAGACGCAGATATCGTCTGTATATTCAAGATCCCCCTACCTGCTGGTGAACTAGATACCCCTTGGTGTTGCCTTTACTCTTTTCTTCACCTCACCCAGCATCACTAAGTCTACATTAACAGGTCTATTTGTTTTTTTTTTTGCCTCATCCTAAATGTATGCAATCTTTGAAACAATCACTCGTTTCTTATTATTTCACTTTTTTTTTGTGTCTTAAGATCTTTCTGTAAACTTTTTTTTTTCAGTACTAGAAATATATATTGAAAGACTCTGAATAATGTGCGGAATTTATATCACATAATAAAAATAGTTTGTTTGTATCAGACTATTTGAAATTAAATGAGAAGAAAAATTTATTGAGTCTACAAGAACATTTTTTTTCCATTTCAACATCATATTAAAAAAGTAATTATGGTGCACGTGCAAATTGTGTTCTGACATAGCAATTTTTATTATACTGTACGTAAACATAAATTCTGTCCTACACGCATAAATAAAGCGTATATTATGTGATTGAATAAAATTGACCAAATTTAAGTGTTTAAAGAGCAAAAAATTAACGCAAAATAAAATGAACAAGAAAAAAAACACAAAGAATAAAATTAAAAAATTTCTAATTTAAAGAATATTTTTCGCATCCGTGTCTACATTATGTGTGCAATTTATGAAAAGGATTCTATATATAACCTTCTACACACAACACCCTGCCACAAAAATGAAATTTTATTTTTAATTTAAACTAATGATAAAATAATAAAATTATGCACGTACACTACATAATTTTTCGGAGGGGTTTATTTTTGGATAAAATTTTTCTGTTTTTATTTTTCTTTAATAAAAAAAAAAAATTTTTTTTTTGTAAATGTTTTTTAAAGAATTTCATGTATACGCTCGTAAATTATATAAAAAAAAAAATTTAAAAAGGATAAGTGATATTTTGTTGGTGTTATGTGTGTGAATGTAAAAATTTTTTTTTTTATCGATTTTTTGATCTAGATAAAAATTGTAAATTTTTAACCTTGTAATGAATTTTTTCTTTTATTCACCAAATAAAAATTAATTTAAAACTTCTTGTATTTTAAAAACTATATGTAATTATGTAAATAAATTAAGTAACTAGAAATATAACAGTAAATTTTCTAAGGCATCAGTGTAAGGCATTTTTATCAACTTGCATAGTTCTTTCCAAAGTTATGTTATAATGCATAACATTCTGTTATATTCCAATATAACAAAATTATTATTTGACAAGGATAACAACAATATTAAGATTATATTTTAAAAAATATTGGAATTTGTGGTTTAAATATTAATATTTCTTAGTAAAAAGCACTTTATCGTAAGTTTTATCGTATATCATATCGTAAATAAAAAGTTGTTCATAAAATTTGAGCCGTTAATGACGTATAACGAACATTAGTTAAGTATTTGTATTCTTTGGTAAATAACGAGAGATGGCTTTAAAATCCCTTTAAATTCGGACTTTTTTCGGAATCTACGTAAATTGAGAAAATTTTGTGCCTTAAATAATTTCATGTAGTTTAACAAAAAACAAAAATTTACATTTCATGTTAAATTTAAAAAAAAAAAACTTTATAAATCTTTATCTACTTACTTTTTAAGTAGTCTAAAATTTTTACGATCTCTTTTACCTGAGCGTAACGACGACGACAACAGCGACAACGAAAATAAAAAAAGATTTATGGAATGAGTAATTTTAAAATGAAAAAAATAAAAATAAAATTTATTGAACTTTTATCCTTGAATTTTTGTTTTTTTTTTTTGTTTTTTACTTCTAATATAATTTTAACACACAAGTATGCATGTATTCGGTTCATGTTGTACAACGTGCTTTTAACCATGTATGTGTGTATATGTAAGATTATATATATAGATATTGTATGCTTATTCATTAATTTATTCTTTTCGGTATTAAAAATTCTCTGGGGTAATAATGAAAATGTATTTTAGGCTGCATTAACTTTTTTTTTTTTTTTATCTCTTTTGTATTCTGAAGTGAATTGCTTAATAGCCTTAAAACCAAGTAAAAAATCCAAAAAGAGAAAAAAGACAAACATACAACAATAATATAAAGAGAGAGAAAAGTGTTTAGGGAAAATGAAATTTTCGAAAGAAAATACATTAGCCTCTGTATGTACATATAGATAACAAGGTAACCTTGATGTTTCTTTCATAGCAAAATCTAATAAATTTAACGAAACAAAAAAAAAAAAAATGAAACGAAACGAAAACATGAGTTTTTTTTTTTTTAAATTTAAATATTTTATAAAAGAGAAAATGTATACATGTACATGTGTATATATGTATAATATATGATGCTTTCAAATAAAAATTGTCAATTCTTGAAATTTTCAAGATATTTCTAATGTTCTTGTACTTATGTTGGTTATCTACAAATTTATATATAATAGGCAATAGGAAGACAAGTATGAGAATTTAAATTTTTATCTAAAACTTAATTGAGTCAGAAACATCACTTAGTTTTATATACATATACATATACATATGTTTAAATATTTATTATATTGTAGATTTAGAAATTAAAGTAAATTTAATATAAAATTTGTTAATTTTAAATTGGTTTTTTCTCTAACATTAAAATTATATAAATAAAAAGGTTCCTTAAGTAGATTTTAAATAATTTAGTAAGTTGAGTGGAAATTTTTATATGAAATTCTCCTATTACACTTCTTTTTCTTTAAGTGCTCCGGTAGATATGCAATTTTTAATTTTGAAACACTGTTTTATACAACTGTATGCAATCAAATTATTTCGAAATTTTTAAAAGAAAAAACTAAAAATTGCATATTTGCGTGAGCCTTAAGAACATTAGAGTTTAATTTAAAATTTATATTAAATATTATAGTATGGTTCAATTATTCTCAGTTTGTTTTAACGTCCTGCCACACGAAGTTATCGATTGATATAAAACGGTTCTTTGTAATTTTAAAAGGATTGTAAATACAATATAAAAATTACTTTTATTCGAACAGTTTGTTAGTGTAACTGTAACCAGAAAAAAAAAATTAAACCTATCTCCCGCACCTCCTCTAAAAATAATACCCCCTCAAACACAAAAAATGCAATTTTTTTTAGATATTTACTACAGGAAAACCATAAGTATTTCTCAAATTTTACAAACACAAATGTAGGAGTCGAAAATTTTTGGCAACTTTAAGATACTAATAAATAGTTCATTTTGTTTGGAGGCTCTGCTCCTATCAATGCCTCGGGACGACACGGTAAAGAAGTACAGCTTCGAAAAAAATTTTGCCTCGTTGCTGAATAACAGAGGGGACTGGGAGCGTGATTTTTCAGGTCCTCCATTGGGAACATACGTTATCAGATGGTACGCAGATGGGTCAAAGACCAGTATTGGGACGGGTGCGGGGGTATTTGTGCCAAGAACCAAATTCTTCGAACCTATGGGAACTTTTCCGAGTTTGTTTCGGGCTGAGTTGCACGCCATTGAAATGTGCGTGCGGATCAACCTGGAAAGGGGGTATCGGTGGAAGGAGATAATGATTATGTCGGATAACCGGGCTGCGAACTCGTTTTCAGTATCCTCCGCGGCAGTATGGGGCTCTTGAGCAGTTCAATGAGTTGGGCAGATGCAACCGGGATCACACTGTTTTGGGTGCTGGGCCATGTGGGCGTGGAAGGAAATGAGGACGTTGATGCACTAACAAGGAAGGCGGGAAAACACACCTCTTCTTGGGCCGGAGCCCTTCTGCGGGATCGGACCACATACTATTCGTTCTGAATTAAGGAAGGGATCAAAAAGAAGGCGGTCAGAGCCCTGGAGAAGTCTTCCGGGGCTGCGGCAAGCCAAGGAGCTCCTGAGAGATTATGACCAGAAGAAATTTAAAAAAATTATAGGGATGGGCAAGAACCAGATGAGGGTCCTTACCAGCATTTTGACGGGTCACTACAGGCTTAGGGGATACCTCAGTCGGCTGGGCCTGGAAAGTGATGATACCTGCAGATTCTGTAGAGAGTATGGAGTGACCTCGGTGCACCTCCTGGAGGAGGGTGATGCTCTTCCTCACAGGAGGGGGGAGGTGCTGGAGGGATTTGCTTTAACGGTGGCAGAGTTACGGTCTTCTGGTGCTCACAAGTTGCTTGAGTTCATCGGGAGGGTGGGTCTCCAGCGTGTGTTGTAGGGCATGCCCCGCACTTGGATGGGGGCGCACAATAGATCCTTATTCGTGGTTGTTGCACTGTTGCTCCTGTTGTACAAATCTACAAATCTACTTCCATTCCTTCCTGAATTATCGACTTCCAAAATTGGTGAAATTTAAATTTTCGGTATCTACCTTATATTTCCGAAATTGCAAGCTTTTCTAAAATTTTTTAAATGCAAAAAGTTAAAGTTAAATTTCATGCTATCCAAAAATATAATGATTTTTCTTAATTCACGCAATTAACCCTTAAATTAGATTACATAAATGCATCTCTAAAATTTCGTTTTTTTTTTTGGCCTCATCCTAAAAATATGCAATTTTTTTATATTTTTGTATACGAATGAAAGTAATTTAAATAATGTAGTATACTGCTTTTAAAAGCATTACTATTACTTGCAGAAAAGAAAAAATGTTCTACCTCTTTACAAATATTATTGGTTTGACCCAAATTTATCAATATACAAAATTTTTGATTGACATTAAAAATATTCTTATAATAAGAAAATTTCTTTAATATAAAAAATTATATTTTCTTACCGCAAACTTATCTAAAAAACCACAATAATATAAATTTAATTAAAATTTTGCTGATTTAATAATAAATATTTATTTTGTTATTTTAGAATATTATTATTGATTATATTTGTATTTGTGTGTATGTAATTTCCTTATATTTTTAATATTTTAATTGTAATATTTACATAATAATGTTGCCTACTATTGATTTTACATATGAGACGCTCAATACATTAATGGCCTATCCAACATTTTTTACAAAAATGAGATATTATGCTCAATAGAGCTCTAATGACCGAAAGAATTTGCTTTATATTTTCAAAATAATTTGTTTACACCTCTTTTCACTCTATTTTAATACAAGTTCGTTTTAACCTTATAAAAATCAAATATTTCAATATTAATTTACTCGAAATGTCATTTTTGCAAATAGGCTACTAATGTTCTGAACGTCTTATATATATTATTTTGTTTTTCTGAATTTCATGTAATTATTGTTATACAGAATATAAAATATACAAGAGTATAACATATTTATATATATATTAATGTTGGATAATGTATAATAAATAATTTTATATGCAAATGTATGCAAATAAAATGATGAATATGATTCTCTTTCTTTCTTTTATATTATTTCTCTCATTTTTGTACATACATAGTATATAGATTTTTGGTTGAAATCAAAATTCAATTGAGAGATCTGTAAATTTAATTAAATATCATTATTGCTTGAGTGCTTTTCTCTTATTAAATTAGCAAAGAATATTTGACTTTTTTTTGTTTTAACACAAGATATTGATTTATACTTGTTTTTCTTTGTTGAGATACTAAAGGATGATTCATTGTATAACAGAATTTCATTTTTTTTTCTGTTTAATGATGATTGTATAGTATATTGAAAGATAATACAAATGATGTAAGATTATAGGAAAAATTAAAATGATTTTAAGTATATTGTATGAATTGTTAAAAAAAAAACAAAATTGTATTCAACAAATTTCATCAAATTTGGTAGAAAATTGAAATTGATATTGGAAATATGTTGAAAAATGTTAATGTAGTTTTAGGAAAATAAATATAAATTCAATAGATTAGTAAGAATTTTTTTAACATTCAAAATTAAGACTATTTTCTTTATAAAATAGTGAAACCGTTTCTTCAGAAAGGTGAGGTATTTATAGCCACATGTTAAACCTTCTTGTTAAACCAATATATTTTGCAGATGGCCCTTCGACACCTGTTTATAAAATATATTATAAACATAAAAATATATAACGACACCAGCCAGGTTTCTGAGCCGTATAACAGGAACGACTTTACACAGGCGTTAAATATTGCCAACTTCGTATTTTTCGTTATATGCGGAAACCTTCGAATCGGCTATAGCCTACCAAACGCCATTCTAGCTAGTTTCAATCTGTTTTCTATATCTTTTTTAGCACCTCCTAATCTGGTTATGATACTGCCAAAGCAATTGAAATTTGCCACATCTTCTATTGGTCTGGAGTGGACAATGAACAGGACCTGATTTGTTGTGTTTGTACGAAGCGTCTTGGTTTTAATGATGTTTATTTTGAATCCTACCTCTGCTGCCTTACATTGCAAATTGTTGATCTTTGCCTGCATTTCTGAATGTGTATGGGCCAGCAGAGAAATCTCATCACCATATTCTAGGATCTCAACATGATTTATTAGGAGCCATTGTACTCCCTTCGGTGTGGATGCTGCTTTGCGCATAACCTCATCGAGAAGCACATTGAACATTAGGGGCGAAAGGATGTATTCTTGTTTTACTCCGGTCATTAAAGACTTACCGCCTACACATTTTCTTTTCCAAGAATACGTTTACAAAATCGTAGAAAGATCTCCTGTAGTTTTGAAGATGACGATAGTACAATCGCCGATCGCACTTGAAATAGTAGTGTTTTTTCTTTACAGTTACCAAAATTAGTTACATTCACCCCATTATTTGCTGAGATATTTATTATGTAAGACTGATTAGCTTCATTATTGCGCCTGTAAGCCATGAAACGAAATTACCTTTTCTAACTGGTGATATATGGTGAAAATAGTAAAATTTATTAATCAATGTTGTCATACCTACCCAAAAATTTATAATAGGGCTGATCTTAGCACACTGGTGGGAGTACTGACGGGGAATTGCCTTTTGGGGAAAATAGCCAGGAGGCTTGACGGATTTATGTCATGGACGTCGGGATGTGGCGGAGGTGGAGGATGTAGAGCATGTCCTCTGCGCCTGTCTATTTCTGAGGTGGAAGAGATGGCCTGGGGGATCTTTCCGGGGTGTCTCTTACGCGGCTTTTGAACTTCGTCAGGGAGGCTGGCTGGTTTAAATAGGGGGTCTTGTGTGTCGAACTGCATGGGGGTTGTTGGGTGTTTTGGGGGTTGCCGATGGGCCTTTTCTGTTTGCCTAGTGTATGGGCTTTGCGCGGTTGTACGGGTGGAGCCCACCTCTCTTACTTACTTACTTACTTACCCAAAAATTTTATTAAAATCTGTAATAATAATTGTTAATAACATATAATTTAATTATTAACTGCTCCAGCTCAAAATTCATGTAGAAAATTTAAATATTAATTATTGAAGAATAAATAAAATTTTATAAAACATTTTTTAATTTAATTTAAAAATTTTTATATTTCTAAAATTTTTTAATTGGGATTGTTTCAACTAAACAAAATGTTTTTGATTAATAGTTTTGAAAATGTTTCATTGCAATCCAATGCTGCATATACATATTATAACAATTCCATTTACAATATAACAAAATTTTCCAATTTTATTTGATCCAGTGAATATAAATATACTAGATTTTTTTATAGTCAAATTTTTATAAAAATTTTAATTAAAATTGATATTTTTATTTTATAGTGAGTTTTTAAAAGTCAAATTTTATTTTTAATCTTCCACCACAATAATTCAACTAGCTACTGTCATGGATTTGTATTTATAGAAGAATATAGAAGAATATTACTTAAATTTTACAATAGCATAATTGGATTTTCACATGGAAACCAATATTATCTAATATGGAAACCAATATTATTATTATTGGCTTTTAGAATTATTTTCGTTGTCATTATCTGTTATGAGAATACCATTTACACTTAATATTATAATTATGATTACAGATAATTGACAGAAAGATATGCAATTAAATCTGATATCTTTTATTATTTTAATTCGTTATGCTGTTAATAGATACCGTGTCAAACAAGACGGTATTCCGTTTCTACTTAAGATTTCCTGTATGATAATTTTTATTTAATTATAGTTTAGGGTTTCTCTTTCATTTAATCATTAGTATTCTTTTTGATATATCGAAGATTTTTTAAAGGAAATTGATTTATTAAATGAATTTATTATTTTTGTAAGCATTATTGAATATTTTATTATATTTTATCAAAAGTATTACAGAATAAATTAAATTATTATGTTTTGCAAAACAAAAACATGCAGTCATTGAAAATAAATAAATGGAAAAATTCTATTCTCTTTCTTACTCTCATAACAATGAATGAAATTGTAGTAAGCAGTACAGTAAAACCCGTATAACAGATACTATCTTGAACTACCTTTGATTATTTCAATTACCGTACTTTAATCAGATACCATTGATTATTTTAATTGAAAAAGGTTTAAAAAATGTGAGTTGTCGACTGTACTGTATAACAGATACTACCTTGAATTATCCTTTATTATTTAAAATACCCTTGACTATTTCAATCAGATACCCTTGATTATTACAATCAAAAGAGGTTTAAAATATGTAAGTTGTCGACTGTATTCGAGACAAACTGAGTTGTCGACTGAACTATCTATTTGAACAAACTTGATGACTGTCAAAGAGGATTTGATTTTAACGGCTTTATAAAAAACTGTTTCAAAGGTTCGTAATCACTCCGAAAATTGTTTTATCTAATCATAGTCTCTCATCATCGAATTCGTTTACAAAATCATTTCTGATCTTTAAGTCTGAAGCAATTAATTTCCGGATATTGAAGCTTTAAATTTTAGATTTTCATGGCTTATATCAAAAAATGAAGTGAAGTTAATATTGTAGTTTGGTGATTTTGAATTACATTTTTGTAATTTGAAAACAGTTTCTAGTAATACCAATTTGGACAATTTTGAAAAGTAAATTGTATAAATTTTGTTACCCTGAATATTTGTGAATCAACGACTTAAAGGAGTCGTCTGTACGAGCATGTATATGTACTCTATCTCAGTTTAAAATTCGTCCGTCCACCCGATCACTCAAAAGCGAAAAATGCAAATTTTCACAAATCATTAGGTTTCAGGTAGCTGCAACACACCAACCAACTCCAATAGTCAATTTTAAATATTCGAAAAATTAATAAAAGCAGATTTATGAGACTAGGCAGTCATGTGTCCAGTTGTAGATCACACATATTCTAGAAGTTTTTATTAAATGACTTGACAAATTCGGGTAGCTGCCATACAACTTTAAAAGCTTACATTAAATATTTGAAAAAATAATAAAGGTAACCGAATAAAATTTGATAGTCGTATGCCCAATTATAGCCCAGATATATCTTAAAAGTTTTTATAGAATTATTCGGCAGGTACGAGTCGAACCGCCATTCGATCATGAAAGCTAACGTTTAATATTTCAAAAATAAGTTTTTATGCTCAGGTGCACGGTATAATGCAGTTGTTTCAGGACGAATGAATCATTTTTACTCCTATTCTATCTATCTCGATCTATTACAGTCTTAGTATAAAACTCTTGCTAACTCTATATTTGTAAAAATTTATATTTCTACGTCTTCTATATACCTTGGATGGAAACATTTCAAACAGACTAATCAAAAATATTGTATAAATTTTGGAATTAAAACTTTCATTCCTCATATATAGTTTTATATATATGTATGTATATATATACTGTTAGTGTATTACCGTATACTAGAAGCGGAAATTAGTTAAAATACTTTTTAGAATTTTAAATACAAAATTTTATTTATTTTTATACAATGCGATTACAATTTTATATTTTTTGTATCAAATTTTCTGACAATAGAAAATTATTTAGGAATTCTACAGAGTAATTTTGTCGAAGGATGAAATAGAAAGAAAAAAAGTCTAGTTACTATTGAATTCAAGCGGAAAACATTTATCTATTTAGTTACAAAGTTTTCTTCATTTTATTTTTTGTTTTCTCTTTTCAAATAATTTCCTTAAAATTAAATATGAACAAAATTTAATTCAAAAGTTTAAAAAACTTTTCATTCAAAAAATAAATCCAAAAAAAAAAAAAAAAGAAATTTTTATAGTCAAAATAATTATGTATTTATGTATGTATGTATAAAAATATATAGGCAAATGTACGATTAAATATGCGACTTATACAATAAAGTATAAGAAGTTTAAATATTGTAGGTGTATAGATGAGAGAAAGTAAACAAAAATCTAATAAAAAATTTTTTCTCTCTTCCTCTCTGAATTTTTATTTTATATAAAATGTTGTCGTTTACGAATTTTATTTGGCAGTTGATTTTTTTTTTTGTTTACAAAACAGTTTGAAAGTTTTTTTTCTGTTGTTGTCTTCTGTTGTATGTTCTATATGTGACATTTTATTTTGACTAACGGTATATATGTATAACAGTTGTCATTATAGTTTAGAATTTTTGATAAAATTTGAACAATAGAATAAGTTTTTGTTTTTTCTATGTAATTAGTGAACAAAATTACAGTTATTATAGCCGAACTGGTTAGGCGAAGCATTTATTGTCATACAAATAAAATTTGCATGAAAGTGTCAAAACAATTATCATTTCGGTGCATAAAATTAGTCTATCTGATTGCCAAGTAAAATCGTCATCATTTGATGAAAATGATGAGGTAGTCAAATTTTTGGACCAAGTTGTCGGAAAAACAACAACAAAAACAGAGTTGAGCCACAATACCATCGTTATATAACCCATAGTTAGAAATAATTCAAATTCCTAGAAAGTTAGAACCTTAGTCAAACTAACTAATTGAAAGCTTAACCAACGTTCAAAGTTTGTTTGAATTCTTTATGAAAGACAACTGCTCCAAAAAAATTGGTGAAACAATATTTCCTGAAACATGTTTTTTAAAAACCACGTCACCGATTATTTTACAACGGTTGCAAGTTCAACAACAGTAGCATACTAAGCCACGCAATGTGAAACAGAGAAATCTCATCTGAACGGATTCTATCTCAGAACTATCAACAGATTGACAAGGAACTCAAAAATGGCACACACTTAATTCGTCTTAATATTGTCGTTTCTATCGACGATTCTGCTTTTGAGTTAAGAAAAAGGAATAAAGCAGATAGGTGTTTGAGAGTAATTTTAGACTCGAAACGAAATAAAAAAAAATCAAGACAAATTGACAAGAAACAAATTCCTTCAGTGCTAGGGAAAACCAATTTCAAATTTGGCTAGTATTTAACAGAAAATGTTAAGCTATTGTCAATTTTTTAAATTTCCTATTAATATTTTCGCGTCCAATGATCACATTGCGATTAACTCAATTTTCTCAAAATAGCGTCAACAACACAATTAAAATAAAAAATTTAAAAAAAATTTTATTCCAAAGGAGCAAACAAAGTTAGTTGAACTCCAAATAATGTAAATTAGAGCGACAAAACACGTCATAAAATAAAAGTATCGAAATGGGAATAAAAGGACAAAAATTTTTGTGTAATAAAAGTATGCGGTATAAAATACTCACTGTGGCTGGAGATGAGAAAAAAGCAAAAAAAAAAAATTGTTTACATTGAAATATTG